TACTGTCTGTGTGTGTCTAAAGAATGAATTTTGTGTCTGATTTAATGTATTTGTATCAGAGGCGAATCCAGCTCACAGGTGCGAGCTCGAGCTGTATATGCATCGATATAAAAGCTATCAGATTTTTTTGAGATATATGTGGATGTATTAGACTGTGCACATGCTTTCAAATTTTGTGAATCAAAAAATTTGTTTTTTGTGCATGATTTATTGTATTTGTATCAGAGGTGGATCCAGCTTACTAGTGCGAGTGCGGGCTATATATGCATTGATATAAAAACTGGCAGATTCTTTTGAGATATATGCATATGTATTAGACTGTGTAGTTGCTCTCAAGTTTTGTGACTCAAAATAATGTATGTGTAGGATTTAATGTATTTGTATCAGCATAGAGGCGAACGCATTTCCTCTCTCGAGCTTGGACTATATAAATTAATAAAAATTTTAGAGATATATGTGTATATACTATCTAGTAGGTTGTGCACATACTTGATTCGAATTATGAGTCCACCTGTAATTTGTATTTGCCGGTTGTGGATTGTTAGGATGTTGTCGAGAAAGGTTGCGAGCTCTTAATACAATGCGAGGAGATGGTCACTAAATTAGGATTGTTCTCGCTCAATGAGACAAAAGATGATATTAGCACTGCTAATCTGAAATATATCCTGGTAAGTAGTTTTCATAAGTAAAATTTTCTCTTGTAATGATAATTTATCTTATTAGTTTTGTTTGGTTCCTAAGAGGTTGGATGGGAAAGTTGGGATTCACCTTCCCTAATTTCTTTTATTCTAATTCAAAGAAGGAGCTACTAATTCTCCTTTCTGGCAATTGTTTCTATTTATTATAAAACTTGATGAACTGGTGTGCATGTGTTCACTTTTGGGTGGAGTTATGAAAGCTAAATTGTTATCCAATTATTGTTATTGTCGTCATTTAGTGCATGAATTCGTTTTATTCTATTTTGTTTCATTCTTTGGTAGTATAGGTATTGTAGGTATAAGTGTGAGTTTTAGAAAACCTTAAGCTTCAAAAAGCTCCTAATTTTTAATCATTTTCTTGGTAAGTAAATCCTAGAAGTCAAATAATTGAGTATTGGAATGAAATGGGTCCCCTGACGATATCATGGCACATGTCACTGATCGAGGCATAGTTATTGTTGTTGTTCTCTCTAATAGCTTAAGCTTTTAGATGAGATGGTCACATACTTCATGTGTTAGGTTCGGCTATGTGAACCCTCAATCTCCAATCCACTCTATTTGGACTTGTTTCATCCAAATATTCTTATTAAGACAAACTACAGTTTTTTTTTTGCACTAGAGGGTCTACATTTTATCGTTTTTTCAAGACCAAACCTGGAACAAAATTATTCTCCAATCTAAATGCAACCTTATAAAAGGCCTAACGATAATTGGTTTTGATCGTGAGCAACCATTTGAATGTCTTAGTGTCAAGCATCATATTTGTGGTTTCTTTATTTTGTTCTGCTATATTTGTGCTACTGCAGATCTTTCCCCTCATCTCATCTTATCAGATTTTTGTCATTGCAAACAAAGAAGGAATTTGATATTTGAGCATGCTAGAGATGTTTATACGAAATTGAATCTCATTTCAGGTAGTTTTATGGTGTTCAAACATGGAAAGAAAATGTAACGAGCACGCTAGATATGTGTAGTAACTAGCATCAAGTAGTGTCAAGCACATCTATGATTTTGGGGAATAACTAGAAAAATTGACTTTGTCAATAAGGAGGAGTGAACCTTGAAAACTCATGACGCATGGATATCTATCAATTGAAGAGAAACTTGATATATATATATATAGAAGCTAATGTTCCATCGTTTCAGGTGCCATACTATCTTGCAGAGCTAACAGAAAAAATTGCAGAAGATAATAGGATAAAAGTACTCAAGGTTTCACAAGCCAAGCTAAAGGTAAATTGTTGTAAGCTGTAACATGCCATACATTTATGTTTATGCCAAAAGGTTAGCATTGATGTTGAATTGACATCTCAGCACTATATTTTGGCAATATCTCTAGGAATTCATTTCATTTTGTGAGACAATGGAGCTTGTTCCAGAAGAGGAGATAGAGACATCTACACAAGGTGGAGCTAATTCTTTTGCAGATCGTAGAGCTAAGAAGGTAGATGGGAGTTAACGTTCTGTGAAGATTACTATTAGGTTTCTTTGTTTTAAAAAAAAGGGTTTCTTTCTTTTTATTCTCATGTTTAGATGGGTTATTTGAGTTACTAAGCGCATCATGTTTATGAAAGATTGCTCGGTTCAAACGCCAAAGAGCTGCTGAGTCAAAGCTGCTTGATTTGAAGGAGCAGAAGGAGCGTCGTGGGCGATCAACTAAAGCAGCTGCGTTGTCTACTCCTGTTGAGACTGGAGAAGATGATGTGTCGGATGATGATGGCGAAGAAGAACGAGAGGTTAGTAAACATCCCTATTTATGTTCTGTGTATGAGCATGATCACTGTTGCGAGCTTCTTCTTCCTTATATTTTTTGTTTTATTCTATGTTGCAACTTCTATCACGTCGACTGCACTTTTATGCCAAGTCATCCATATTGTTCATGCTCATGCACATGACATATACTGGTGTTTGCTGATTCAGCATTCATGGATCTGCATTTGCATAGGCATTTGTCGCTGCTTTTTGGGTTTGTCTGTGAGAACAATCTAAGATCAACCTTTGATTCGAATATCCTCAATAGGATGTGCTGAAAAATCCATGATGTAACCTTCCACATTTTGTATTTGATATCTCTAAGGAATCATGATTTACCCTTTAGATATCATTTAATATGTTAAATTCACCCCTAAAATACATATTTCCAGTTTGTGATGCAAATTTTGCTGTTGCCTTCTTTTGATTGTTTTTATACTCAAATTTTGGTCACCACTTCCATAAAGTGTCTGATTAATGGGAACTACTTCCATTCGCAGGCATGGCTTACAACCATCTCCTTGGCCCTCGGTAAGGTTAGCCCACATATTCTGAGTTTCTGGCAGTGCATTTACTTTTTATTTCCTTGTATGCCTGTTACCTTATCTTTACCATCCTTTAATTACTGCCCTACAGGCTTTTGATCTGCTTGAAATGCTGAACAAAGAGGAAGAAATGCTATCTGCTATTAAGGAAAGGCAGCTTCAGGTATTATTGAACTTAAGTTGATTGGCATTCTTCTTAGGGTCTGTTTGTATTTATGTTGTGTTAGTCTCTGTTCTTTATGTGTTCAATCCGCGTTTTCAGCTCGAAATAACATTTACTGCAACACTGTTCTTTTCCAACTCTGAACTTTCTGGCTTATATAGTGCCATTTTAGGACAGAACTCTAGTATTCTTGTCTCTTATATTTTTGCATCATGGTATACTACTTATGCAGGATGGGGAGAAAGAATTTTCTCAGATTGTACTTGATGAACGCACCAAAAAAGCAGAAACTTGGCATCGTGATGCTGCTGCTCGAGCTCACTACACAAAACCTGCAGCACCGATCACCTGTGCTACTTTCGCTCAAGATGTCATAGAGGGAAGGGCCACGGTTTCACAGGCACACGAACATAAACACCAACCGTTAATTTTTGGACCAGCAAGTCTTGTTGGTAGGAATCCAACAACCGAACGAGAAAAAATAGCAGCACAGGTTTTTCAGCCTCATTATAGGTACTTTCTTTTAACCAATAACTAAGACGCCCAATGATCTTAAGTAGCAAGATAAAGAAATAAGCTTCGAGGAACTTAATCATAACATCTTCTTTTCAAACACTAGATTACCAACGATGAGCATAGAGGAAGCTGGGCTAACGGAGATGAACATGATGAACGAATGGCAAGAGAGGAACATGAAACTCATGGAAGAAGCAAATTCTTCATGGCACAAGGATGGCCCAAAGTCAAGGCCAGGTGAAGATGACGAAGAAGATGATGACGCTGCTCAAGACAAGGCAAGAGCATGGGATTACTGGAAAGATGATAATCCCCGTGGTGCTGGCAACAAGAAACTCACTCCTTGTGGTTAAGGAAGCAGCTGCCGTTGAGCTGGAGTATCCAAAACATAAACTGCTGCAGCATTTGAAGAAGCCATTCTGAATTAGACTGCCCTGTTAGTTGTACACCAAACTTATCCATAAGTTTGAAACCATTTTATTTCCAGTTTACATGTACTAAATTATCGGTAGATTTGCTTATATGTATTGTACAGTAGTTCTAATGGAAAGGTTGATGTCAATATCTCCAGAGAGGACAGAATGACGAACAAACTGTAGGTGCGAGAATATTGCTTCTAAAACATAAAGTTTCCCGTTGCAACATGGTGAAAAAGCCATATTAAAATTTCGCAGGTGCTCTGTTAGGCTGCTCAGGGGAAGTGAAAGGCCAATTCCTGTATATGAACTGTGCATATCCCATTTTTGCACGGCAGTGTTGCGAAATCCCACGAGAAGCAAGACAATACATGGATGTTGTCAAGTCCATGACCAAAGCATCTGTTATTTCTTGTTTGTTTGTAAGATTCAGCTATTATAGCTACAAGGAACCCACAAACGATTCTGGGTGGTTAGAACGACAAAATATGAGCAATATGCAAATGGAACATGAAAATGCTCATAAAGTAGGTACAGATTACTATTGTGGTGGAGTTGAAAAAGAGGAAATTCTTGAACTTGGAAAAGGATAGGTGTGACAACCTAAATGCTAAATGCTTTCCTCATCTGGTACTCCCAAATGCGTGGTGCAGTCCTTAAGGATTTAATATGACTTATGGTCTCTATGTTCTAGCCCATTCTTGGTCTGGAAGCGAACTCCTTCACTTATATTCTCAGAGTTCATTCCATTTGATGCTGAAAGCAGATCCAAAACCTTTTCCTTGATTTAAACTTGTTGATCTATTGTCACTTCACTACACAGTAATCATATTGACATAGTTCATGTATTTAATTAGTTGGTTAGAGAATATACATCATGATCCAACAGGATCGAATCAAACTCTTAATGTGTTGTAAATCTAAGCCATGGAGCTAATAAGCCACGCATGTTACTTGGTCAAAGACACAAATTTCTCTACATTCGTGGCAGTATATAATTGTACTTCGGCAAATTAGAAAACAAGAAGCAAAAGAAAGATTTCTTAAGCATGGATCAAGAACATGCTCCATCTGATAAAACTTGAGTTACTAATCAAACTACTCAATGTACTATTTTTGAAAATTAGTTCTCAAATATTCATTAATTTCTGTGTCATCTGAACCTAATATATCACTCCCTTTGCAATGAGTCACTTCAAGTTGAGCCTTAAACTCAAGCCAACGTCTCTCTAATCTCCAAAGATCAGCTATCTGACACTTCTCCCCTAAGTTCACCCAAGAAATTAGCCTGGATACCTCTTTTTTGTTCACTTTGGGACTCAAACCTTTCACAGCAATCCTTGCATCACGAAATGCTGGGAAGCACTTCTGTTTTGCAAATTCATGGCATTTCCCCTTTGCTGCTTCTAGGCAAGCCTCCATTTCGCGTTCTTCGCATCTTGCTCTCTCTGCAAAGTCCTGAGTGGAAGCAGTACCAGTGATCGATTTCCACCAAGGGGTTTTACATTTGTCTGAGGCTGCAATTGAGCAACCAATCCTAGCTCCGGATTCACATTGTTGAGTGACTTGAGATTCACAAGCCTTGTATGCAGAGGCCCAGGAGAAAGGGTCTTTAAATGCGAGGATGAATCTGCCAACTGTTTCTTCTTGTGAACCAGCCCTGATGGGACCTCGCAGTAGAGGCACTGGTTGGTCAAACGGAATCAGAGTCTTTAATGCTGAGTATTCTTCGAGGTTGGTTGATGGCACCTCTGAGGGCAGTCGTTCTGGTGTTGTCATTGAGGATGTTTTGTACGTCCTCAATGTTGGGTCCTGAAGAAAAGAAACAAAAACCAATAAATACATCTGCAACATGGACATTTGGATAGTGTCATGCAAGATGACACAAACTGCAGGGAATTGAATAAACTGATAATTGTATGCAAAAGCTGCAAGTTTAATGGCTTGTGCTATGATGAAAATGTTTTGACATGGAAAGCTGATAGAATTAGGTTGTTGGTTTACTGGGAGCACTGTTCATCATGACCGTGTATTGTATGCCAGCTATTAAATGCTAATCAAGTTCGGCCAGCCTACCTTGTCTCTCATATTCTTTCAGTTGCTCTCTCTTTTAACATATCTGATTCTGTCCACCCCATGCAAATGTCAAGTATTGTTTCCTTCCAACCGTCGGTACTTGAGTTATGAAGCAATATCTACTTGATACTGTCAATTCGAGGAATTAATAATGTATAGATAAAGCATATAGAGATACTTATAAAGCTGGTCTGGAGGCAACAGTGAGGCCAGAAATTCCGAAGTTGCGGTTTATATTTCTCTCATTCAGATCTTTTTTGATAATGTAACATTTTCCATATATATATATAAAGACATCAGCACAAAGGTTGTGCTGGAAACCAAAATGAGTTGTTACATCATGGCACCAAATTAGGAACCAAACTAAAACCTTGATCTTCTCTCACTCAGATCTTGGAACAATGTTCCATCAAATTAGTAGGATATAACAACATTTAAACTGAAGCTGCCCAAAGTTTCAAAGTACCCTGTTGTATGGTACATACTCTACTCCTTGGGCTTAACAATCGGGGCTGAAAAGATTCACCAGCTATCAAGGATCGTATTACAGAATTGCTACGAGGAAACTGACAAGGCCATGGGTAGTTTAGCAAATTTAGCTGTCCATAATATGTACTGTAAATTTGTAATATAATTCATTACTCTATTCAAAAGTCCCCTCATATTACTCCATTGGAAACTATCTCGTTAGATGCAAAACGCCATTTACACGTTGGTGGCGACGTATATTCTAATCTGCCATGAACTTTAACAGCAATTCGTACTATGGAACAAGAAATTTTAAATCTCATTTCCACCGTTGACTTCTTTAGACTTGTCATCACTTGCACTTGTAAAAGCTGAGGCATGTCCAAGAAGCCACCCTGCTTCATCCCGCAGCCATCACAGAGTGCTTTAAATCAAAGAACATAAAGTTATCTATCCACCATGGCGGTTGATAGTCAACTTCAATAGTTATGTATCCGCATTACTTAACAGCAGAAGTTATATATCCAATGTGATAACTTAGTGATCAACTCCATAAAAGAAAGCTAAATAATTTGATGATACTTACAGGAGAAATAATTCAAGCATACTTTTCTATTCATGCATTTCTCAACAATAATCAATCAAACAATCCTCAATCCCAAACTAGTCAGGGGTAGACCATGCAAATCCTTATATCTACTGGCTATTCCACTTCACTAAGACCTATTTCATCCCAATATTAGTAAATAATTCGTCCTTCGAGGAAACTAGGGGTTATCTAACACTAGAAGTTCCATTTATTGACATAGAATTCTTTTGCCAGACTAAAGACAGCTAGACACTCTTAGCAAACACTGGACCCAAAGTAAGTAGATTTCTCAATACTAATATGCGAAGAAAATTACACTTCAATTCTTCTAATATGGGAAACAGAAACAGATTCAACACACAACTTCATATATACATCCAGTGGAAAACCCATTTTTTGCAATTAATACTTAGATCTCAGGGAAACTAATAAATCTCAATACTCGTGGTACACGGGCGGAGCTAGAGTGTAGCCAGCGGGTTCGGCCGAACCCAGTAGCTTTGGTTCGAACCCTGTATTTGGCTTAAAAAATCCATTGAATATGTATAAATTATTAATTTAGAACCCAGTAACTTAAAACGATTA